CACACCTCAAAGGGGTGCGAAGTGCTATTCGAAGAGGTGCGAGACAGAATTTCCTTTTTTATACATTAATGTAGGCAAGTATTTCAAGTATAAAGCGAGGAACTTTATTGGTACATATTTTTGAAACTGACTAGAAAGTACTCTGTCTGCAGTGCAGATTAATGTATACCACCACTCAATGTAGTGTGGATAAGGGATACAGAATGGATATTGTGCGGAATGCGAGGACAGTTCAAATTTTATTGCGGGCATGCNTACGCGAAGGTGTGGGGAGGGGGAGGGTGTTGAGAACCATTGCCGTCGGAAACCCCAACGTTACTCTGAGCAATCCTCAGCCAGAGCCTAAATCTAAACTTTAGCAACCTCTGCCAAATTTTAGTTTCATAGTTAGAACATTGCTGTCAACATTACGATATCAATTCCTTCAGAGGTGATTTATTTGCAATGATCTGATTGTAAAAAAATGTAATGACAGTATGAGAATGCAATGCGGATAGTAATATAAACATAAACCATCAGAATGATTTTTTGGATGCATTCATTTAGTTTTCTCATCATTTGATTAGCATGATAATATCACTTAGAAGCACTGTCCTCTCAGAATCACTATCCTCTGAATGTTCCTAAATGGCTGGAACGAATGAATATTGGTGAAATTTATTTATAAGAAGAAGTGCTTCGAATCAATTTATTAGAGGTTTATCCTTATCAGGAAATCATGAAATGGTTCCAAAATGAAACTGATTCATGCTGAATCCGACTTACAGCTTTTCGAATATATTCGTAATAATGGTTCTCTTCATATTTGTTGTTGTTAGATTCCTTTTTACTTATTCCTCGCTTTGATCTGTTTAACTGCTTTGCATTCCCTTTATTACTCGAACTACAATTTTAGTACTCAATTTAATTATCACAATCAACTCAGACTGCATCCTGCAACTATTTTTTCGTTTTCAAACACCACATTTCTTAACGAAAGCCTTGGATTTTTAGTCGAGTGAACGAATAAACGATAAGATGAGATGTACGCACTTTAAATAAGCACTCAAAAGCATATTGAATTGATTGTCGAAATCATCTCTATTGTTAGTTTCATATTTCGATTGCAACGATGAATTTACTGAAACAAGTGGTTGATTCGATAAGATAATACAA